TTTTGTAGTTTATCCGGAAGCGTCATTATGTTTGGGTATAAATATTTCAGATAATATTTTATTTTTGTACTTTGAATTTTGCTTTTATAAATTGATTTATTATGTTATTAGGTGAGGTACCTTTTTAGATTGTGCTATCTGTTGAGGTGCCATATAGCTGTTTTGGTTACTTTTGTTTTTTTTGTGAAAACATTGGTGATTTTAGCTTTTTCCATTTCTAATTTCTTATGTTCTTACTTTCCTGAATACAACTGCAAAGAGTGAAATATTATTTCTATGTGCCAGTAATGGTTCTATAGCCTTTCTCATACACTGTGCGCACAGGTGAGGTACTGCAACCCAATTTACTCTCTCCCAGGCTGTGTTATGGTGCTTCACCGTGCCAGACTAGAAGTCTCCATCTGCTTCCCAGTAGATGCTTGTGAATGAATGTCAGCAATAAAGTGGAAAAATACAAAATACAAAGATTTTGCAGGGACAAATATCAAAAATATAAATAGTATAAGAATAAAGGAGGGTATAAAACACAAACCACTGATGGCAAAAGTGGCCAAATGCAAATCAAGGTCCCACCTGAGCTTTAAACCCAAAGGTGACCTGGTTCATAATCACTTAATCCACCAAGCCTCTCTCTGCAATAATCTGTGGTGTCTATTTCCTGTATTTTTATATGATTGGTTATGGCTGTGTACCTATTCTTATGGCAGCTGATGACCCATCCAACTACCTCCCTGCATTTCCAAGTGGAAATAAATATTTCAATTATAGGAGGTGAGTGGTATTATCAGTCTGCTATATATTTGTGTCTTCAGTTTGTTGTAACCAGGCTATGAATATGGTCTTTTCTGGACCAAAACTCGTTGGCATGTATTGTGCTATGTAACATTTTACTCCTTGTTTTCAATAAAGAAGATTTATTTACTTTTCACCTTGTTGCCGACATTCGTTCAGAAGTATCTATAGCTTTTCTCAGTACTGTTAACCTAACATGCACAGGGATATGAAAAGGGAGGTGAATTTATTATGATACTCAGTTCATGGAGCAGGTGATCCACAATTATTGATAGAGGGGTTTATTTACTAAAGCTGAAAAGTGCAAAATCAGGCTCACTTCTACACAGAAACCAATCAGCTTCTAACCTTGGCTTGTTCAATTAAGGTTTGGCAATAAAACCTGGAAGCTGATTGGTTTTTATGCACAAGTGAGCCTGATTTTGCACTCTCCAGTTTTACTTAATAAATCCCACTGGTTTTATCTTTCTAGCTATATAATGCAGTGAAACAATATGATGGCTGAATAAAATACAAATCTTTATCAGGTAGGTAGGTAGGAGTTCCTATTTGTGTATGTGAACTGTGTATTTAGATGTTTGCATGGAGTTTTCCTTTAAAACATCATTTAGAACATTGACTTTGATTATTCAGATTTTCATTTAAAAAGTTTGATCCATACAGTAGACCAGTGGTCTCCAAACTGTGACCAGGGGGCTGGGTGTGGCCCTTTGCTTGCTTATATGCGGCCCTTGGGCCATTATTTCCCCCACTGTCAGCAAAAATGGGGCATAGTTCCTGACACTGACAATAGGACACTATTCCAATATGATGGGGCATTTTCCTCCCACTGACACCAATGATGAGACACTATTCCTCCCAACGATACCAATGATGAGGAACTATTACCCTACCTAATACCAATGAAGGGGCATTGTTTATTCACGCTGATGCTGGGACATTGACTTCTCCCACTGGCCACAGTCCAGTCCCCCAAGTTTGAAGGACAGTAAACTGGCCCTTTGTTTAGAAATTTTGTAGACCCCTGCATTAGACTATTGTAATTCCTTTACTGTCGTCATATATTTCTAAATATAAAATATATACCTTTTTGAAGTTTTGAGTGTTTACCCTAAGTGGGTTGACCTGACTTTTGAATAATTAACGTTACACATTATCATAATAGAAGAAAAGAAAACTGCCCACTACAACCAAGGGAGAGTGATAGAAAATCTTACAAAGTTAAAAAAAAATCAAAACAAGAGGTGTGTGTAAATCTTCCAATGTGGACACTTTTTTTTTGGGAAAAAAAAAAAATGTATAATGGGGAATTCCCCTTGCTTTTCAGTGATCTCCCTCACCTCTTGCTATATCTCCAAGACAGGAAGTGAAGTGAAACTCTCACCAATTGGACACAGACAACAAAAAATTAACCAACAGGGATTTTAATCCCTTCCTATTATACCCACAGCTACAAAGAAATGTTTGGGCTGTACATACACTTAAAGTGGTTCTAAAGGCAGAAATTATTTTTTTTTTACCTTTTTTACCTTAATGCATTGCATGCATTAATGTAAAAAACCTTCTGACCGCAGCTCACCCCTCAACCCCCTAATACGTACCTGAGCCCCATTTTGCTCCAGCGATGTGCATGAGAGCCATGGCTCTCCCAGATCTTGCTCCCCTTATTTGCTCACACAGCAGAGGGAGCTATTGGCTTGCTGCTGTCAAGTAGAATATACGAAAAACAGGAAGAGCCGGCAACTCCAAAATCCTTTTTTTTTATTAGTGATGCAGAAATGACATAAAAGCACACTGATGCATTTCTGCAAGTAGACTTGATCCCAACTGTCATTCACAACCAGTGAGCCAATGACGAAAGAGTGTGGGCGGGGCATTGTCCATTCACAGGAGCGTGGCTCAGGAGTGAGCCCAAAGCTGTGCCTTGCTATTGGGGCCACTCGGCTGGGGGGAGGAGCGGCAGGGGACCCAAACAAAAGAGGATTGGGGCTGCTCTGTGCAAAACCATTGCATAGAGCAGGTAAGTATAACATGTTTTAATTTTTTTTTTAATTCCAACCTTTAGAATCATTTTAAGGTGAATGTTCCTTTGCTTATCAAATAAGATGGATGAATCTGTGCTCACTTTGAATACCTAGTCATATTCAAGGGAGAATAGAAAAACAAGATTTTTTTTTGGCACCTGACTAGATAATTGAAATTTCCTAAAATCTGTGTACATTTACTAGTCACATGACCAGTAGCAAAAAACCTTCCAATATGTTTTAGGAAGTACTATTAATATACTTTGCATATGTTTTCATGTTGGAAAAATATCAGCTTTTGAAGACATAACTGTTTTTTGTTTATGTCTGGTGGCTGTGGAATTAATAGCTGTCTGTGTTTCAATATGTCAATTATGTGAACTTGAGTTAATTGAAGTGAAAATGGTGCTGTGTACTAAGGGAGCACATGGTTCATCAAGCGTTGCAGTCCCTGAAAGATTTTCTGTAAGTGTTGTCATTTTTCAAGCTGTAGGTCTATACTCCACAGGGATAACTTGAAATTAGAAACATATTTTAGTTTTGTCCTTCTGTGACATCCAGCTCTCAGCCAAAATTTTTCATGTGGTCATTTGGGATATATTTCTGTTGGATGAGAGAGTATCGCTGATAGAACATCTGTAGTGACTCAAAAAGTGTCAGCATTATGTTGTCACCTGATACATATAATTTCAGTACTATTAAGTGACAGTTAAAAAGTGTATATAATAAAAACAAGAACAAATGATTACCTTATTGTAGTTACTGGGGAAAGGAGGGTGTTTACTAAAACTGGTGAACACAGAATCTGGTGCAGCTGTGCGTCGTAACCAAACCGCTTCCAACTTCAGCTTGTTCAAATAAGCTTTGATAATAAAATCTGGAATCTGATTGGTTAAGAATAGAGGAGATACAAAAAACTAGCTTTTGGCTTCTTATACCTCTCAGGTGTGTCAGCTGGACTGTCATGTCTGTGCATTAGCTATGGCTCCTATAATGTGGTCTCAACAACCCTGTTGGATTGGTCATTATATGCTATACCAGATACAGTGAAAACCTAATGTGGATTACAACACTCACAAGTCCAAGGGGAATTATGTTCAGGATAAAACAAGAGATTCAAAAAGAGTTTGAATTAGTCTACATGCAAAACAAAAAACTCAGCTGTCAGAAAGACCAAGTAAAAAATGAATTGCTTCATTAACTTATCTGCCCCATATAGGCAAATTCATACGTGTATTGACTTTTTCATGGCTCAAAGTCTTTGGATTCATTGATGATATGCAGTGATGGCCAAATCTTTTAAAGACTGGTCTTTTCCAGGATCTACCCATAGTTGGGTCTGGCTACCCATCTGTGTGTATGTGAACACTTAAAGGTTGGTGATAGCATCCATTTAGAATTTATTACATTTTAAAGTAGGATTGCATAGCATGTGTCTGACCATGATCACATTTCCAAATATTATCATGCAAAAGTTAAACATGTTAACATCCGTTGTTATACAAGAGTTAGGTAGGATGGGCAGATATACAGAAATCAACGATGTGCATGAGATTATCATGTATTAATTCAGTGCTCTAAAATATCTTCCCCAGACACAAGATAACAGCTTACATTATTCTGTGTACTGGGAAATCTTGGAGCTTTTTCTTACAGTATTTTGATTACCCATATGGAAAAGACATAAACATGATTTTTTCTTGGTCAGCAGACTAGCTACTTTTTTTAGATTTATTGTAATATGAAAAATATTTCTAAAACTGAAATGCCATGGAGTGATCTTTTTACTAACCTAAGAATGTCCAAGAATTTGCTGGTAACTTCGCTGTTTTTTCTTACAGTACTGGCCCACTTTCTGTTATGTTCCTTAGAATATTAAATATTCAATTTGTTATCGTGTTCTGCATTTCAAATATGGGTAGAGCAGGACCTTGTGTCTGGATAAAAGAAGCTGCAGATCTAACTGAATATGATTTTCCATATATGTGCAATTCAGTAAAGTACACAGCTAGCACAAAAAGTTTGCTGTTAGGATTTCCCACACGAAAAATAAGTGCATTTTGTGTAAGACATCTGAAGGAAATTGTTGTAATATGGAAGTTAAATATGTATTTAAACAAAACATAGAACATTAAATATATAACTTATTCTTGTAAGTACCAAACAAGATTTAAATTGACTTACCTGTATGGAGACACTGCTATAGGAGCCACCAATGACTCCAGCGATAAGTAATGGACTGTTTCCTTGAATGGCAAGTGAGCCGTCTGGACACACATATTCTGCCTCATCCACCTTGGTCAATGAAGCCCTTACAAACTCCAGTGACTGTTCCAGAGCATAGGTGTCCCTAGAACAGGTATCCAGAATATGAACGCCTAGTTTTACTCCAGGTAGTAGTGTGCTGTCTCTGTTAATCTGATCAATAGCAAACAGCATGGCTTCCAGACGCTGGATACCTCGATCCTCATTGATTCTGCCGCATTCTTCACTTCCTGTGCCTTTTTCATTTATTGGAAATAAACCTCCTAAGACAAGGTCTCCCTCAATCTTTATTTCTTTCCTCACAAAATTGTGATCACTTGATGAAAGCAAAACTCCTTTGGAAAATAAGGCCAAAACAAATACCTGAAGGCTGGCAAAAGTCTTCATGATTTTTGCTTCTTGGTATAAACGTGGTAAAATCAAATTATTTTTCTTCCATAGCAGAATCATTTAGCTTGTTGTGGTGATGATACATCCCTAAAGAGAAATAATGGAAGAAAAGAGAGATATAAAATTATATAGTACGCCATCCATACCAAAGGAAAAATACCTCTTATGTCAAGGGTGTCTGAAAAGTGTCTCTGTTGCCACTAAAAACGAAATACTATTACACACATTCTTGGTTCACGTAAGAAAATAAAAAAATAATATGAATTATTTTATGAGAAACAAAAGGCATTAGATATATGAGACTGGTTTTTAAATTCTCAATTTTTTTAGCATACACTCTGGCCTTAATTTACCATTAGGCAAAGAGATGGCTTTTCACTGTTTATTTACTGGCTACTCCTTTGTTTTCAATTTTAAGTGCAATGAATTGTATAATGATTATTTACACATTATCACAGCATCTTACACCAAGTTAGGATCATAAAATCAAAGAAATATTTGGCTTCAAATAATTGATACTAGTAGAGGTTTTGTGCATACAGGCTTCAGTGATAGAATTCCTACATGCTCCCTAGCTCAGCTATACAACAATTTTATTTGCACACAATTTTGCTTTACAAAATAAGATAATAAAATATAACTACTGTTTGAAAGTTTTTGTGAGATACAACATGTTCATTAGACTAATGGTATTATTCAATAAAGAAGTGAAAATGGCAATTATGAGCAAATTGCATCAGCCCAAAGAATCCAAGCAGATCTGATTTTACAGTAGTTGGATCAATGAAATAAAAAATTTGCTGCTGTGAGATCCTGTATTCCATCATTGTTCTTAATCCTAGTCAATAAGCACAGTATAATTTCAACCTAAGCTTTTTTTTTAGTTTGGGATAAAGTGAGGAGGAGACTGAAATGCTATTCTTTTCTATTGCTAACTGTGCTCCTGCTGGGAAGATCTAACTTTATTATTTGTCCTGGGGACAATTGTCACCAAGAAAATAAAAGAGAGAGAGAGTCTAAAATCTTGCGGTTGTCACTAAAACAGGAGTGGAAGGGATAACAGTTGGGACACCTGTTTTAGTGACATTTATCAGAGGTGGAAATTTTCCTCAGTTTGGGGAGATTTTCACTTCACCATGTATCAATGTGATGATGACGTACAAGAAAAGATATGGCCACAGACAGCAACATAAGTAAATAGGGCTACTAATGGGATGAACATTCAAAGATGTCAAGGTAAGTATGCTTTGCAAACAACTCTCATCTTTATTTGGACTACTGATCTTTGCTTGATAGACCTGAATAGACTTCCCACTAAGATTACATAACACAGAATATTGCAAAGGAAAAAATTTATGAAATCAATTCAAGTGTTAGCATCAAACATATTCAAGTCCATGAAGATTTCCAGATAAGATGTTTATTTTGTCAACTAACATATTTTGAATTTGTATTACTTAGGTGTGTGCTGTTCTGCTTCACGCAACAGTAGATATGTGGAACTTGATTTTATAGACTCCGCAAAGGGATTTCAATTCTTACTGTTCTTATGAACAGCAATAATCAAGTTACTGAATTTTACAGGATATTACATTAAGATTTAAAAAAGTGATTACAGAATTTTATAATAGTGCAATACGTTAGGCTAGCAATTAATTTTATCCCACACAATTTGTACTGAAGAAAAGTAAACCATTTTGCCATGAATAAAGAACACTGTTCTGAGATTTATCTTTAAACCTAGACATTTACTGTTTGATATGATATGTGGCTACCATGTTCATTGTGGCTGTTTCACATCATTAGTGGCTTTCGATTTCAATCACACAGACCTTATTAGTATGAAAAGAAATAAAAATAAGCAAAAACTGATAAGCAAATATAGCACATTGACAGGTGAGCATTAGATGCATTGGGGGGACTTAAAGGATAACTGTACTTTTACAAAAGTATAATTAATTGGGGTTCCTTAACAGCATCATTTTCTTTCCATGCCATACATTTTATAAAACACAGGGTTGAATGAAAAGTAGTTTCTTCTCATTAATATATTTCTTTCATAGTGATTTTTTTTAACAATATTACTGTATGTTGGTATTTTTATGACCATAGCTTAGACTAAATTAGAATATGTCTAGTTTATTTTGTCACATCTTTTGCAAATCTGATCCATCACAAGCAATATAATGTCAGATGTGAATTTATAGCATGTGCTTCCAAAAGGATAATGATGGATGGATTATAATTACTGCAGCAGCATTTTTTGCAGGTGCTACTGGAATGACTATGGAATTTGAAAGCAGCGCATTTGCACATTTAAGACTAAGCAAACTCATTTGGTCAAACAATAATTTCAATGGACACTAGCACTTGCTTCAGGGTATAATCCAACTTGGAGATTTAATTAGGAAAATGTCCTTGGTAGATTGTCACATAAGGAAACAAATATGTCCATTAAAATTAATGAGACTACGTGTACAAGCATTAGCAATAGAATTGGACATGTGGTAATCAGCATTTGGCATCTCTGTGCAAAAAAAAAAATCATTTGCAAACAAAATTTTTTGGCATGCTAAGAAACCAACTTATGTCATTGTATTGTAATAGTGTACACTGTAAAATAATATTGACAGGTTTCCTAAACATATGGTAACCTAAAACAATTTTATTTTGTGCATCCTGGCTACATTGAGCAACTGCACAGCATGACATGAAAAAAAACTGGCAGCTGGGTGAACAATCTGCAATTGATTGATTAGTCTATTTGGTATAAGGGCCTTAACACCACTTTTGTTAAGCTGTTTTGTTGCACAGTATAAGGCCATGCACTCAAAAGTTGACACTTTTTGATGTATGCCAAGTGGTACCTGACTTTTGAGGAAGTGAAAGTGTAATAAAGCATATTTAAATTCGAAAGAAAGAACAAAAATATTATACACTGCTCAAAAAAATTAAAGGAAAACTTTGCTTGAGGTGATTGTAGCCGTATTAGTGCATTTGTGCATTTGCGACAGTGCAAATAAAAAAGTATCACTGACAGTACTCAATTGTTTCTAAGGAAAACTTTGAAAACACATCAGATCTCAATGGGGAAAAATATCATGCTGGATATCTATACTGATGTGGACTGGGTAATGTGTTAGGAACGTAAGGATGCCCCATCATTTGCTGGAAACTAAAATTACACTGTTCAACAAATTTTTATTTTTTTGCCAGTTTTGGAAACAAAAGGATCCATTTCTTAATGAATTTCACATTCTGAGTTCAAATATAACAATGAAATTTGTCAATTGGCTCTAGTTTTTCTGTAAACGGAAAGTTTTCTACTATAGGCGTAATGACTACATAATAATTATATAGATAGATGTCTTTCCACAAATATAAAGCAAGTGATATTGACTACATAACAAAGCCTAAATGGCATAATATATTGCATAGGATTACCAAGAAAAATTATAGCCATAAGCTAAGTTGAATCATTTTAATACTTAGGATTCTCACTAGTTTTGTCTTCAGTTTGTGTCGGTTTTGCTTCTCTTGGCTTTTCTCTTGTATTCGAGGAAAGGGCTATCTCTTACAACTGCACGTGACTACACGCTTCAGGTTCTTCCTCACTTGACTCAACCACGAAGGATTCTGGTGCTTTAGGAATTGGTAGCCCCTCTCCATGAGGAACTGGACGTATTGCCGATGGAATATTTGGATAGTGCACAGATAACTTTTTCTTCTTATTTAGCCCTTTTACAATTGGAGGCACCATACAAAAGTAACAATTACTAACATGATCTGTTGGCTCTCTCCAAATCATTGGCACAGCGAAAAGCATAGATGCCTTTTTCCATTCAACCATTGCTCCAGTGCCGTCCCACAAGAATTGCAGCATATATGTGGTGCCCAGCTCTTGTCCTGGTCTCCTATCTTGCAGCCAAAATACAAGTTGTAGGCTTTCTTAATCATTCCTGTTATCCTCCTTTTTTGTGAGATAAAAGTTATTTCACCGCAGATATAGCAGAAATTATCTGCTTTATTCACACAAGTTCGAGGCATTACTGAGTAGCCTATATAAGCATAAAACGGAATGTAAAGACGCTGTCGAACTACAATCAGCTACAGATACTGCAGCTTTTATGCAGTGAAGTGATGCAATTAAAGGCTAATATTGCATCATCTCAGTATACATGCAATTTTCTATTGGTCACCAGTATCAATTGCGCAATATGCAGCTGAAGTTGCATTATAATTTTGAATGGCTTACGTCATTAGATGGGTGAATATATCATGGAAACTAGAACCAATCAACATTTTTTAGGGTCATTTTCGTTTTCAGCACCCCAAAATTATGTAAGATTAGCTAATTTTATGCCCAAAACCTTTTACCTTTTGAACAGTGTTATCAACCTACAGAGGACTGATTTCAGAGACACCCTGAAAATCAGAGTGAAAAAATTATGCAGCATGCTAGTCCATTTTACTGAAACTTCATTGCAGCAACTCAAAATGGTACTCAATAGTTTGTATGGCCCCCACTTGCTTGTATGCATGCTTGACAATGTGGGGGCATGCTCCTAATGAGATGACGGGTGGTGTCCTGGGGTATTTCCTCCCAGATCTGGACCAAAGCATTACTGAGCTCCTGGAAGTCTGAGGTGTAACCTGGCAGCGTCAGATGATCCGAAACATGATATCCCAGAGGTGTTCTATTGGATTTAGGTCAGACGAGCGTGGGGGCCATTCAATGGTATAAATTCCTTCATCCGCCAGGAACTGCCTGCATGCTCTTGCCACATGAGGACAGGCATTTTCGTGCACCAGGAGGAACCCAGGACTCAGTGCACCAGCATAGGGTCTGACAATGAGTCCAAGGATTTCATCCTGATACCTAATGGCAGTCACAGTGCCATTGTCTAGCCTGTGCGTCCCTCCATGGATATGCCTCCCCAGACCATCACTGACCCACCTCCAAAAAGGTCATGCTGAACGATGTTACAGGCTGCATA